TTACGAGATCTATAATCATTTCATATATTTATTTTTATAAAAGCTACACAGGTACAAAATCAAAATTTCAAGCCATAGTAGAAGGTACAAACAACTGGGAATACTCTTCTTCTCCCTAGTTCTTCTTATAAGCGCTAAGCTCTTCATCCTGGACGAAATCTAGGCAAGTCAGACTGTCCCACTCCACAGCATATTGGATCCCTAGGTCCTACGACAGGGCCACTGTGAGGGTGGCTGCCTCTGTCTTCAGGGCCGCCCAACCAAGGGGATCCCCTTCAAATCAGTAGTCAGAGTTAAAGGCACACACCTATAATCTCAGCATCCTGTAGGCTGAGGCAGGAGGATCACCAAGAGTTTAAGGCCAGCCCGAGCAACATAGTGAATTCAGGGCCTGAACTATACAATGAGACCCTGGCTCACAAAAAAGAGAGAGAGAGAGAGAAAGAGAGAGAGAGAGAGAGAGAAAAAAAAAGTCAGAGCCTAGAAAGCCACTGTCCTAAATCATAGCTTGAGTCACATGTCCAGACCAGCTTGGAACACGCCTAGAATCAGTGCAAGACAAGAGCACCTCTCTGGGTGCCAAAATCCACTTGTGCCACCGCCAGCACCCCCCAACCCCTCCAGCCGTGACCCAGGGGATTTCAGCTTTATCAGCAAAGTCAGGCCCTGAGCCCCTCAGCAAGGGGTCAGCACAGAGCAGAGCTGAGGCCACTGCAAACCAAAACAGTGTCAGGACAGCTCTGAGGACAAGAGGTTTCCCAGAGCTTTTCCTGTGTCTTGATTGCTGCCTAAAAGTCCCGTCACGGTGATTCCCCGCCCGCCGTGCAGAGCTGCAGAAGTTCAGCCAGCTTCCTTGAGCTTCAAGCTGCCACTTGCTCTAGGAGCCACGGGGAGACCAAAGGCCTTTCACGAAATCAAACACAAGCCTGGGGTATCCCCTGCCCACAGGGCACACACACGTGCACGCACACACACACACTACAACACCTGGTGGGAAGGTCCCCGAAAGTTTGCTGCTGAGTCTTCACACACGCCCCATGAGGAGCCAAGAAGCCCCAGAACCAAGTCTGCGCCGTTTTCTGTTCTCTTTTCTTTCTCTTTCCTGTCTGGCTTCCTGCCCTCCTGCCTCCTGGTTGAGCAGGTGGCTTGGGCATCTACTGAGCTCTAGACACGCTGACCATGGCAACCTGTGGCCACCTCGGCCGGGGAGGAACAGGGAAATAGGAGGGGAAGGTCCCAGCACCCCAAGGTCACCCAGGGCTGGGAATGAAGGATCAGTTCAACGAGATCCTAGGGCTGGGCCCTGGCTGCCTCCTTGGTCCTGTGGGCAGCCTGTGAGCCTGGGTCCAATGCGACACACACTGTGCGGCAACTGGGGGGGGGGGGTATGGGAAGCTGCCAGACACACAGATACCCCACTGTCCCGGCCCGCTTCACCACCAAATCCACCCCCTTAGCCTTAAACCTGAATGATTTCCAGCCTCAGAACACCCTCCATTATAAAGCAAACAGCCAAGAAAATGAACACCTTCAGGTCTGTCGTGCTGCCCTGAGGAAACAGGACAGAGGCTTTAAGAGTGAGGCCTGGGGACCAGCAAGTGCTTCAAGAAAAATTCAAGAAAAAGACGAAAAAGCTGGAGCAGCCGGAGATGCCCTGCCTGACGTCGGGTCTCCAGCCGCCCTGGCTCCAGCTTTCCTGGCTCAGGTCACACTGGGAACAACCGCCTTCCAATGGCCAGCTGGGGAAACACTTGTCTGCAGGAGGAGTTCCATGTTGGGACCCTATGTTACTGTTGCCCCACAGGAGCAGGCCATGTGGCTGGTGTCAGTATCAACTGGGCCGGAAATGTGGCTCAGGGGCTAAGCACCTGCCTCTTAGGATTGTGAGGCCCTGACTTCAACACATCCCACCCTGCAAAACCTAAGTAAGTAAGTCCTCCTTGACTGAGGCCGGCAGGCCATCTCTGGGAAGGCTATCTTGGCCAGTCTTGCTTTTGAGACTGCCCAATGGACCTCAAGGCACACAGTTCACCAAAACTGTGGAGACCAGGATAATCAAGGTTGGTGTCCGCACTGAGAGCTGCTAGTTACAGGGTTTTGTTTTGTTCCAGATCCCCACACATGCTAGGCAAGTGGACTACCACTAAGCCACATCCCCAGGCACTTTTTTATTTTGAGACAGAGTTCCACTAAGAAGCCCCAATAAGCTTGAGCTTATGATCCTCCTGCCTCAGCCTCCCAACTAGCAGAGATTACAAGTGGGGTACACCTGGAACCTGGGGGTTTAAACTCTTAAAAGACCAGTTAGCCCTGAACTCCTTTTCCTTAGGAAGGGATGGAGCCCCACATCTTCAGGTCTTGGGCTGCTGTTGGTCACCTATGAGTGACCTATCAAATGCAGTCCTCTAACTGTCTGCCAGGCACAGAGCAGGCTGGCCCTCTGCACTCTTCTGATGGCAGAAATCCTTGCCCATCAGACTTGCCCCAGCTGCTTCTGGTCTTTCTTACCAATAAAAAAAACCAGGAGGTCAAAAAACCCAGCTAGCATCTAGGGTTGTTTCTAGAACCAAAAGCAGAACCTAAGAGTCCTAGCTTCTGACTCTGACTTCCCACCGCCCCACACTGCTCCAATCACCTGGAAAGATGTGGAGCAAAGCTATAGGCCAGTTCAGGTTCTTACTTCGTTAGACCCAGATTTCATTTCAGTGCAGCCTTTTTCCCTGACATTCAAGCTGTCCAGAGTCCTCCCACATGTGCTTCCTGGAAATCCTGAGGGCCTGGCCATCAGGGACACGGTGACCAGTAGCTAACAGTAGTGTGTTCTTCCAGAGAAAATCTGGAACCCAGGCACAGACAGGAGGGCCAAGGCCAGAGCCCCCGTGAGGATGTAGGCTGAGAAACCTTACCACAAACCACCTACAAGCCAGGGACCCTGAGATGCCAGAGCATGGCTCAGTCCAAGTTCAAAGGCCTGAGAACCTGGGGCGCTGGGTACAAATCCTGTAGCCACATACCAAGTATGGTGGCGCAGGTCTAAATCCCAGCACTTGGGAAGCTGAGACAGGAGATCACCAGAGTGGGAGGCTACTCTGAATGTATTGCAAGACCTTGTAAAAGACAGAGACAGAGGAAAAGCCTAAGAGGAATTAGAGAGAAGATCCTGAAGGAGACTGATTAAATCAAAAGGTGTCAAATTTTAAATACCAGAAGAAACCAGAACAAGTCTGATTGGCAAACACTGCTGCCATCAGAAAAATTTGAAGCTAAAAAGGAGATAAAATCTATTGCAAAGCCTGGAAAGCATGAGGCCCTGAGTTCAACTCCTGGTACCAAAAAAAAAAAAAAGTCTATTGCAAAACTGTTGATTTTTATACCAGGGATCAAACTCACGATCTCACGCTTGCCAGGCAGGCGCTTATACCGCTGAGCTAAATCCCCAGCCTATAATTTTATCATGGAAATGTATGAGACAAAGTATTTATAGCAGCATAGCCTTCCTGGTGGCTTTTGGGAAATGGCCCAGGTGTAACACTACTTTAAGAGTGGGCAATCCCAGCTCTGGGGAGGCTGAGGCAGGGCAATATGGTAAGTTCCAGGCTAAGGCTGGACTATATAGTGGAACCCAATCTTTTTGTATTCTGTTTGTTCCAGGAATCAAACTCATGACCTTGTGCTTTCCAGGCAGGCACTTATGCCACTGAGCTATATCCCCAGCCCCAGAGACCCAGTCTTGAAATAAAATAATAAAAGCCAGGCATGCTGACACTCAGCACTCTGGGAAGCTGAAGCAGAAGGCTTATAAGTTCAAGTCCAGCCTGGGCAACTTGGCAAATTAGCCAGAACCTATCTTTAAAACAAACAAAAAAAGCCATGGGTGTAGCTCTGTGGAAGATGCCTGCTTGAAGCCCCCCTCGGTCTCAGAAGGGTGTTTCCACCCTCCACATCCAGGTCACCACAGCAGTGTGCTGGTGGCTCAAAAATGAGCTGAGGCAGGAGGCTCTCTGCTAGTTCAAGGCCAGCCTGGGCTACATAGTGAGTTCACCCTGAACTGCATAGCAGAACCTTGTCTCAAAAAAGACCAAAAAAGACCAAAAAAAAAAGTGTCAGAGACAGGAGCTGAGTTCACTCCTCTCACACTCCTACACAAAAGGCATCGCACAAAAATGACTCCCCACTCACCAGGCAGTTGCAGGAACCCCCTGACAGCCCAAACTAAGGCCCCATAGCAGTATCAGGAAGGGATCTGGGGTGAGGATCACAGACGGCCACACCCAGATGACCTCTTCCTTCTGCAAAACCCCGAGCCACCTCTGTGCCACAGGCTTGCAGGGTGGGCAGTGAAAGTCAAGGTTTCTCAGCAAACTTGAGAAAGAGCCCCCGGCCACGGCCTGCGTGGGGTTTGAGAGTTCCCTGGAGTATGTGATAAATGCCAGGTGATGGATGCTTTTCATGTGCTGTGAGCTTTTGGAGGATGCTGTCATTTTGAGATAAATCATCTTACTTTCTATCTCGGGAATCACTGTGCAGGGACTAGAGATGGACAATTTCTCACGTGTTGCTGTGGGCCTCCACAGGTGTTCAGTCTTGGAGTACACAGACACACGATCACATCTCTTCACACCCAATCACCGCGCAGGGCGACTGGTCCTGGGAAGCTGTGGGTCCCTGACAGAAAGCAGCTGCCTCAAAGCAGGAATACTTAGGCCGGGCGTGGTGGCTCACACTTGTAATCCCATCACTCTGGAGGCTGAGACAGGAGGACTGCTGTGAGTCCGAGGCCAGCCTGGGCTGGGTAGTGAGATCACGGACAGCCTGAACTATATAATGGAAGAATTTTTTTGGATCAGGAATCAAACTCATGACCTTGCACTTGCCAGGCATTCACTGTGCCACTGAGCTATATTCCCAGCTGCCACCACCCTCCAAAACACAGGGATATTTGTCAGGAAAGTCTTCAAGGTCACAACTCCAAAACAGGGAGGAAGAAAAAGAGAAAAAAATGCAAAAAAGGAAAGCAAAGTGTCCCTCACTTTGCTTTATTGTGTTCGTTTTATTTTTTCTCCCATTTCCAAAGTGGTGCAGATACGTGGGTTTGCTTCTTGGCCGGCTGTGGGAAGTACCACACACCGTAGCTCCCAGCCCTGTCCAGCCCGGACCCAGGCAGGGGACACACATACAGTGTCTCCTGGCTCTGACCAGGAGGGACGGGCAAGTCTTTCCTCATACTGCCTGGGTCCATCTTCCCTTTCTGTTCCGAGTCCTGCACCTGCGGGAATGGAACACAACAAAGAATCAAGTTCTCTCTCTTCCATTTAATGAAATCTTGAGAAAATTAAAAATGATGCCCTGAGTTTCTACTTCCTAACACAATGCCCACCGTTCCAAGGGTCCCCAACCCTCAGGCCGCTGACTGATACCACCTGAGCCCCAGCTCCCGTCAGCCCAGGGTAGCATCAGATTCCCACAGGAACACACACCCTGCTGTGAACCGGACGTGCATGGGACTTCGGTGCCGTGCTCCCTTGGATCACCCAGAAACCAACCCTGCCATTTACCCCTCTGTGCTGCTCTGGGAGAAAGCTGTCTCCCATGACACCCACCAACTTTCTCAGTGCCCCAAAAGGTGGGGACCGCTGCCTGACCAGCGCTGATCAGCCTCAGTGCGGCTGCCCAGTGTGCCCAGGGTCTTAGGAGTCAACACGCCAGATGGTGAACAGGGCTGCTCGATCTGTTCCCTCTTCCCAGGCGCCAGGCTCGGTACAGATGACTGCAGTCAGCTCACAGCGTGGCACCTCCTCCTCCTACTGTTCAACCCATTTTACCAACCCTGCTGTCTACTGCTCGAAGGTAACAGGTGACTCTTAAAGGAACAGACAGGAAGGATGGCGCCAGAGATTTCTCCAGACTTCCTCTGAAAATTATTTGCACAGTCTGGATGGATACTGTTAATGGTTGCACAGTGTCTACGTGATTAATAGCACTGCATTGCACTGTTTGATGGCCAGTTGGGTGAGGTTTTTGTTTGTTTGTTTGTTTTGTTTTTGGTCTTTTCAAGACAGGGTTTCATTATGCAGTTCCGCAGTTCTGGCTGGCCTCCAACTCACTTCATAGCCCAGGCTGGCCTCAAACTCATGGCCATCCTCTTGTCTCAGCCTCCTGAGTGCTGGGTTTACAGGCATGCACTGTCGTGCCTGGCCCATTGTACACTTAAAAGGGGGTAAAAGGGTACATTTCATGGTATGTTCATTATACCAAAATAAAAATACCTAAAATATGTTGCTCTAACATTTCTCTTAGAGCACACCTCTCCCCCCCTTCCTGATGTAGCCAAGTTCTTTCAGAACCTCAAAGGACCTGACATCCCCAAAATCTTTCCAAAATCCACCCCTTCCTAAAGCCCCCTCCCAATTCCGTCTTGTTGCATTCAGCCCATCAATTAAACTTTTGTTTTTTTGTTTTGTTTTTGGTACCGAGAATTGAACTCAAAACATGCTTCCCAGGCAGGTGCTTACACTGCTGAGCTAAATTTCCAGCCTGTTGTTTTTTCTGATTCTTGTCATCATCCCCAGCTATTGTTGTTTTTTTTTTTTTTTTTCAGTGCAGGGGAGTGAACCCAGGGGCTCCCACATGCTAGGCAACACTCTATATGCCCAGCCCTTTCTATTTTTATTTTGCAATGGGCATCTCCTTAATTTGTCCAGGTGGGACTCGAACTTGTGATCCTCCTGCTTCAGACCCTGAGTAGCTAGGATGCCCAGCTTTGTGCAGCAGCCCTTCTTCCTGCCTGATCATTCACAGCTTGTAACAGACCTTGAAGCTGCAGGGAGTCTTCCCTGCAGAGAGACGCCATTGGCCTGCTGGCCTTTTAACTGCTGCTCCCCACAAAGCCATCGTACTGGCCCTTATGGTCAACACCCGAACTTTGGAATAGACACTTTCAAACCCCAGCATGAGAGAGTCTGGGGTACAGCCCAGGAATCTGTGCTCCCCCAGCTCCATCCCGGGAGGCTGATACTGCTCACTCAGGGGCCTCAGTCTGCAGGAACTGGTGCAAGGCCTCCAAACCAGCCTGCAGGAGGAGCTCGGAGGGTTCTGAGGCTCCAGTGCCTGTTTCCAGTTCTCGGCACACACAACTGAAGTGTGCCCCGGACGCCTGGAGAGAACCTGCCTTTCTCACAAATCTGAAATCACTGTAAATCTCTACTTTGGGGGTGGGTGACATAAGACGACCTTGGGAGGACAGTGCTAACAGAGTGACAGGACACAGAACAAAGAAGCTTTCCCGCCAGCAGGCCCTGAAGCTCCACTTCTTTCATCCACATAATAAAGCCAACGCTCCTTCACTTTTCCTGCAGAAAATACAGGTCCCGCCTGACTCTTTCCCTGCCCGCCTTAAGCAGAGTGAACCAGAGAGCATTTTTCAGCCAGCTCCTCTGTGTAAGAGCGAGGAGATGAGCTCTACCCTGCAACTCCTCCTGCAAGAGCTGGGCAGCATCTCCTGGACACAGCGTGCAAGACAGCAAGCTTGCTGCTCCCGCCTCCGCCAGTCTGCCGAGCCAGGGAGAGGACGACGGGGATGATGGTGATGGCAGTGACGGTGGCGATTTGTATCAAACACTCAAAACACACCGGATTTTTCTCATCTACCTTTGACAGTACCTCGGGGAGGTTGGTATCATGCAGCCCTTAGGCACTGGAGCTGAGACCCGCTGTGTTTACTGCCCAAGGCCTCAACAGGGTCCCCACGAGATTCATAGGTTAAGTCCTTAGCCCCAGTGTGACCAACATCTGAGCCTGTTGTGGTGCCCCCCCATCCAGATGTCCCCAAGAGTCTCACGTGATCATAGATGGGGCTATCGAAGGGTTCTGGGATTATGGGGGCTCACAGCTGACCTCCTGTTAGGAGACAGGGCCTCAGGGGGTGACCAGGAAGGTGTTTCCCCTCTCAGCCACCCTGTTGACTACCCTGTGGCCACACACAAGCAGCTTTTCCTAGCTTTCCCTGACATGCCCCCTGACATGCCAACCTGCCCTGGAACCTGCCACACAAGGACAGAAACTGGAGCCACAATGAAGCTCTGTCAAGTTGTGGATGTTTGGTGTTTGTGTCTCAGGGACAAGGAGAGTAACTGAGACTGACAGACCCCAAACTGGGTGGCTCCTTTGGCCCTCTAGAATTGTGGAGCCAGTTACAAGATGGAAAAGAAACTTATTCTAAGAAAAAATTGAAGTGGGAGTGAAATTCACAAGTCGACTCCTCCACTTTGGGGTCAAAAGGCTACAGATTGGAATAAAGGAACCGAGGAGGAGGAGGAGGAGAACCCAACAAAGGAGAAGGATGAGCTAACAAGGGGAGGGGTGGGGAGTGACTGAGAATTGGGTTTCCACCTCTTCTCTCTCCTTTTATGATTCTTTCCAGTCATCGTCATGGCAACTGGCAACTGTCACAGCCCAGGGAACGTGTCATGTCGTTTAGGATAGAGAGGGCTGGTAAGGAGACTCGAGGTTGTCTGGGGTCACTCAGCAGCCACCACAAAGCCGGCCTGTTCGGCTGCCCCTCTGAAGAGGACTCTCTGGCCTACAGGATCCTGCCCTGAGAGACAAACCCGCTAGGATGGGACAGACATTCAGCCAGCTCTAGAGGACAGCACACCGTCAGGTAGGGTGAGACCGTGCCCCACCATACACTCTCCTTAGGAAAAGGGTGGAATTAAGTGAAAATGAGGTCAGCAGCGTAACTTTCACTCAGTGTGACTGCAGTCCTTATAGAAAGGCAAAACTCAGAGACAGATACAGGCAAAAGGGAAGAGGATAGGAAAAGTGAGGAGCCTGCCAAGAAGCCACACAGGGGAGGAGCCCTGAGGAGGAGGGGAGGAGCCCTCTCCGTGCTCCTGCCTCCCGTCCACCCGGCCTGTCCCTCGCTTGGCCTTTGTCCCAGTGCCTCGGACAGCACCCCAGACCCCAGCCCTTGGACAGCGCCCTGCCCCAGCCCCTTCCCATCCAGGATGTACTGGAGACCTTGCACCCACCCAGGCCAGCCAGCCTCTGCAGCAGGCCGGCTTCTTCTCCTGCCTCTGGAGGGGGAGGCTGCTCCCCCAGGCACACAGACAGGGCAGGTCCGCTTCCCATTCCCGGTCTCTGATTCCAAGATGTCAGTCTTCCTCCCTCCGCCACACGATAGGCCCCAAGGCCAGTGTCCCTCCCTCCGGGCCCGCCTTACCCCCACCAGCACTTGGCACCTATCTCTGCAGTGGACTGAAACACGCACAGAGGGACCCACACAACGCCCAAGCCCAAGGTTCCTCCATTTCCACTCCGTCTACCCAAGTTCAGGGCTCCACCATGCCTGTGTCACCCCCTCCACGCCCAGTGACTTTACCTGTGACACCATCAGCCCTGGCCTCAGCCCTTCGACCTCCCTTCTCCATTCACCAGCTCTGCCCCTCCTTCCAGGGCCAGCACTCCTGCCCGCCTGGCCAGGGCTCTCCCTTCCCTTCCTGGATGTCATCCCTGTCTCTGAGCATCGCCAGCTCCCAGGTATCTCCCATCAGTCCTCAGTCCCGTCTCCTCTTTCTCTACGTGGCCCTTTCCAGTCCATGTTTAAACTCAGCCAAGGGTCGCTCAGCTTTCAAGAGACAATTCTGTATATATGAGGGTGCTTTTTTTCTTCTGGAAGAAAAATGTAAGAAATGAATTGGGCTGGGCTCTAGCTTCATGACAGAGTGCTTTCCTGGGGTGTGTAAGGGAATAGGTTGGAGCCACCTCCAGCAAGAAGGAAAGAAAGCTGGAAGGAAGGAAGGAAGGAAGGAAGGAAGGAAGGAAGGAAGGAAGGAAGGAAAGAAGGAAGGAAGGAAAGAAAGAAAGAAAGAAAAGCTGGGCGTGGTAGCACATGCCGTAATCTCAGCATTTGGGAGGCTGAGGCAGAAGCATCCCTTAGTTCAAGGCCAGCCTGAACCACATAGCAAGACCCTGCCTCAAAAAAAAAGAAAGAAAGAAAGGAGGAAAGGCAGCAGGTAAGAAGAAATTGATCATAATTGTTATCTGAGGAGAAGGGACTGAAAAGTTCAGAATTTGATTTCATTTCATAAATTTGCTATTTATAGCATTTGATTTTTAACGATATACACGTAACATTGTTATTTTAAAAAGCAAATAAATACGTTAAAGGGCAGTGATTTAAGCAGCTCCCCAGCGGTGTCCCTCCTTCAGCCCCCAGGGTCTCCTGTGCCCTCCCTCCTTAAGTCCTTTCCAGGCCCACGAGAGCGAGCTGCCTCCTGCCTTCGCCACCCAAGCGCTGGCAAGGAGTCCCTGCAGCATCACCGCCGGGAAGCCGTGGGAGCCTCCTGCGTTGCCCGGGCCGGTGCCCGGTGCTGCCCTCCCTCCCTGGGGCCCTGGGGCCACTGCTCGCCTCTTGCTCTGCTCAATGCAGGAGCCTGACTGCGTCTGCTCCTCTGCGGCCCCCCATGTGGAGTCGCCCCAGCTCAGCCCATGGAGCCCTCAGCTCGCCACCTCCTCCCTCGCCCTCTGCCACTGCTGCTGCTGTGAAGGACTTGGCCACCTCCCCTGGACAGCTGACCCCTGGCCGCCCTCGTGGCCCCGGCCTGGCCCTCTCAAACCTCCTCCAGCCCCGCTGCCAGGGGAGCTTGTCTGCAGATGCAGACTCCGACTCCAGACACCTCCAGCCCTGCAATCAAGACGCCGCCGAGGCTCCCACTGCGTGGCCCACCGACAGCCTCCTCTCAAATCAGGGTTTGCTCTCCCCGCGTGTCTTCTCCCCGCTGTCCACAAGAGGGAGCCCGCAGGTCAGTTGGGGCCTCGTTGCTGGCTCCTCACGCACTGCGCGCAGCTGGGTGAAGGCGAAAGCTACCGAGCAGGCGCTGGTGGACCCAGCCCGTCCGGCTCTCGGAATAACGCTCTGTAAACGCCAGGGCTTTGGGCTACCTGTCCTCTAAACAAGAAATGAGATCCAGGGGAAAGGAAAATTCACTGGAATCGTTAATAGCCCTAGATATAGGTTCACTGGCCCTTTTTATTCTGAAGGGTCTGAGAAAAATAATAAAATAATCCTACGTGGTGATTATAAATTAACTAGTATTTCAATGAGACACAATACGATTTGTTTTCCTAATGTTGGATTCAACCAAGGGCACTAAACCACTGAACTACATCCCCAGCTCTTTTTATTATGAGATGAGGTCTCACTAAACTGCCCAAGGTTAGTCTTGAACTTGCAATCCTCCTGCCTCAGCCTCCCGGGATTACAAGGATGTCCCACCATGCATGGC